ACACACACACACAGACACACACACACGAGGGCCCTGTGAGGCTGCAGCCCCCAGGTGAGTCGTGGGCAGCGTTTTTCCCAGGGCTGCAGGCCAGCGGAAGGGCAGCCTCTCCATAGAATTAGGCAGCCCACAGCGCCATAAACGCCAGGAGAGAGGGAGCCTCTCGGGGCTCCCGAGACAGGAAGGGGCCTCTGAAACCCTACGAGGCCCCGGGCCCACAGGAAGCGTGACCAGGAGAAGGTGCTGCCACCAGCCTCCCCTCCCCGACGGCCCCAAGCCCGCACCTGCCGCTGCCCGCTTCTTCCTCGGGGAGCCGATCCCCAAACCTGCAGACCCACAGGCAGCCGGACACCTCCCAGGGGAGCCCAGGCCCCCCACGCCACCCTGGCTCTGGACCCCACCGCACCGAGCCCAGAGGGGCGGATTCGGTGCCCCTGGCCCGGGCCTGGGAACGGGCAGACCTTTCCGTGCCAACTCCCCGCCCCACAGAGCTTCCTGAGGACAGACAGGAGGAGGAGGCACCATCACAGACACAGCCAGCCCTTCCTGGGCTGGGGGGGAGGGGGGCCCTCGCTTGTCCCTCAGAACTGGAAGGTACGATTGCTTAAGTGACTTGTGACCTCAAGCTCTACAGCCTGTGCCCCAAGCGAGCCTCCTGCGTCAAGGGGCACCTACCCTCCTGCCCTCCCTTCCCTGGCACTCGGGGCGCGCAAGGCCACTGGGAGAGGGAGAGGTCCCAGGGAGCGCCCAGCCCCTGCTGGATCAGCTGGAGGGAATGACAGGCGCTGAGCCTGTTCCAGCGCAGGAGCCACGCCAAAAGCCCTCTCCAGACTCCCTAATCCCTCGCCTTCTCTCCAGACACATGTAGGCAGGCCCTGGGGGGGAGTGGGAGGGTAAGACTTTCAGCCCAAGACTCCAAAATTGGTTGTTGAATAGGAGGAAATCAGAAAATAGTTTGCTCTGTAAACGCACCGGGGTGCTGGGGCTGGACGACATTTAACGGCCAAGTCCTTGTGTGAGTGGCTGCTCCAGCCACGGGAGCAGGGGTGCAGGGGGGCGGGAGGGGGACGCCAGCCCAGGAGCCAGGAGCCCTGGGTTCCGGTAGCCCAGCTGTGCCATGGTGCGTGGCTCTCAGGCTTAATCTGCAAATGTGCCCCCACCCCCAGGCCCAAGAGAAAGACGGGGCAGGCTGGCTGGTGTCTGGGGACAAGACTGAGGGCACCCCTACCCCCTGGGCCCCGGTGCACACTCCCCGCCCGCCTCTCAGGGGTCCCCGTTTCCTAACCTAAACTTCCCGGGGGAAGCTCTTCCTGTCCCTAAGTGACCATCAGAGGGACCCAACCCAAACCCAGTAAGTTACCTAAATCCTAGGATTGCCCAAAACACGGCTCAGGCCACTGCAACGACCTCTCCATTCAAAACACGCACACACATGGCTCTTCATGGAACCGCAAATGCCCATGAGGGTTGTGCGGGATTCGGGGGGCTCCGTAGGGAAGACTTGACAGCCCATCCATTTATTCATGCCATGCACGTTCACGTGTACACACGCATACACACGTACATTCACGTGCACATACGCGCACGCGCACACACACATACAAACACACACACAGTCCTGGTTCTGCCCCTGGAGGGGCTCGGCTCTACAGGCTTCACCCACAAAATGGGGCAATGGCAGGGAGTCTAAAGGTTTGGGGTAACATGACCTACGGTCGGAAAAGCCCTGAGCACTCTATGGCAGGTATTCAATTAAGGATAACTATTCCGACAGCTAACTCTCCCCGGGCGCTTTCATTACCAAACACTTTCACCAATCCATTATGAAACGAACACGCAAATGACAGAATGAGGACAGGGAGAACAGGTATGCTGCCCGCTTTTCACGGGACATCAAGATGTGGAGGAGAAGTGCCTCACCCAGGATTATGTGGTAAATGAGGGGCAGAGTTGAGACTCGGTCCTGGGGCTCCGCTCAGCCCAAAGCTGCGTGTGGCCTGCCAAACAGTGAGGTGTGCAAAGTTGGCACACTGCAGGCCAGACCGACACGCCGGGCGGAGGGAGACGGGCCCATGCTAAGAACGGGGCCTTGGCCAGTCGGGATTTGTGGCCAGTTAGTCCCGCTGGGTCCAAGCTACGTGTCACTGGCAATCACGTACCACGCAAGCCAGGCAGAGGAGCATGGGGTCCTTGGGTGCTCCCACCCAGAGGCCATTCCTATTTGTTCACCAGGAGCCCCTGAGAAACTCCCCTGAGCCCTAGCTGGTTTGGCTCAGTGGATAGAGCATCAGCCTGCAGACTGAAGGGTCCCAGGTTCGATTCCGGTCAAGGGCATATGCCTGGGTTGTGGGCTTAATCCCAGGTAGGGTGTGCAGGAGGCAGCTGATCAATGATTCTCTCTCATCATTGATGTTTCTATCTCTCTCTCTCCCCCTCTCTCTTCCTCTCTAAAAAATATATATTAAAAAAAAGAGAGGAAGGGAGGAAGGGAGGAAGGGAGGAAGGGAGGGAGGGAGGAAGGGAGGAAGGGAGGAAGGGAGGAAGGGAGGAAGGAAGGAAGGAAGGAAGGACGGATGGACTCCCTTGACAGCCTGTCATTCTAGGCACTACAGGGACACGGCAGAGGTTCCCGAGGAGGTCCCCAAAGGCACAAGGCCCACATGTCACAGATCGTGAACATTACTCAGAGGTGAAAACCTTTCTCCGAGCTGAAAACTCCGGTCTTAGCGTTAACTCTTACCACAGCAGACTCGTTTCTTAGGATGGAGAAAAGGGCCAATCAGAACGGAACGGAAGAGTGGCTAACTACCCTCAAACACCCAGGTCACCTTTGGCTGCTCCCAGACAGAGGTGGGGGAGCCGGGGGACACCATGTGGCACCTGGGGCACCGGGCCCAGGGGCCGGGCACTCTCCGGAGCTCCCCGCGCCCAGGATCACCGGAGACAGTGGCAGCGGTGAGGGTCCGTGATGGTTAGCCTTCTTCTGTTGGCAAAGGAAGGGCAATACACGGTTCAGGAAGCCCTGCTCAAAGCAAGAGCCCTTCTGAAGGACCCACGGATTCTCAGCTCCCTGAGAAAGCCCTGCTTACTCCAGTCCCCAGGGGTTTCAGAACCCCGAATTCTGCTGCAGGAGAAAAGGGTTCCTCCAGGAAAAACTCCCAAATCCAAGCTTCTCCCTAATTCTTTACAGGCCCCTCTCCCCTCCCACCCTCTCCCCGCCGATCTGGGTTAATGAGGTTTTATGGGAACCCACCATGAGCCGCAGGTAGAGGCTCACACCGGCCCCACCCTCGCGGGGGAGCCAGGCCAGGAGTGACATCACCGGGGGAAGGCGGCGGGCCTGGCGGGCGCAGTCAGCACCGCCCGCACCCCACCCACCACCGGCCGGCCCGCCGTGGGGAACTGTCTCCACTAGCCCCCATAATTAAGGCAAAAAGGAATCTTATGCCTTTCAAGAAAGAGGAGAGGGAGCGAGAGGGGGGGGGGAAGGGAACCAGCCAACAGCCATTCCAGAACCAGCCGTTTTCCTTGCAGGGCAGAAACAAAAGGCCACAGAAACCTCTTCAGACAAACCTGTTCCCTTCTCCGGGGAGTGGCCCGGAGCAGCGGCCCCTGGCCCATTCAAAGCCAGGTGCCCGGGCACCGGCCCCGGGGGAGCTCTGACCTGCTTCCCACTGGGACCGAGGCGAACCCCCAGACACAGATCCGGGGGGCCTATGGACAGCGTCTCCCCTGGGAGGCAAACCCCGCCGCCCTGTTTCTCCCGGGAGACGGGGAGAGGAGAGCGTTACACAGCAGCTCAGACACCCCCTTCTCCCCGAACCTGGAGCGGAAGAGGGCTGGGCAAGAGGAAAGAAACTGAACTTTAGTTAAAACAGACAGACCTGAGCTCCCAGCCAGAGCCTTCCCTCAGCGCTTAGGGCTTTCAGTCTCAGGTCTCAGTTCCACCACGGCCTCCAGGAGGCCTCCCACCACCTCAGCTCTAAGGAGCCTCCCTCCCTCCCTCCCTCCCTCCTTTCTCCCTTGAGACTCAACGAGCCCCTGGGCCCCGTGTCTCCACAATGTGTCCAAGTTTCTAGGCAAGAAAAAATAAAAACACGCCCCCACTCTGTGGCCTCTGCCCTTCCCCACACAAGAACCCTGGGCACCGTGGTCTCCAGAGAATCTCAGATCCCACCTGCTCCCCTGGTAACGGTCACTCTGGGGTCTGAGCGCCCGGACACGCCAGCCTCGCCCGAGGTGGTCCCAGCCACCCCGGCCTCCACCCCCATTCTGGCTGAAAACGGGCGGAGAACCCACCTCAGCAGGGGCCCTGCCTCGGGCCCGAAGACAGTGGGGCGGCCGGGTACAGCCTGGTGGGCCAGGGAGTAAGCCTTCTCCAGAATAGCCCCGCTCCTCTCTGGAACAGCCACTATCACTCAGGATGCAAGCTGAGGCCCACAGAGGCCGGCAAAGGAGAAGACAGACATCCAATTCTTAAACCTGGACCAGGACAGCACTGAAGGCCCTGCTCAGAAATCCTATCTGCCGCCACGGCTCCCTAATAAGGTATCCCCACCACCACCATCTCACACACACACACACACACACACACACACACACACACACACGGGGAGACAGGCATGCAAACACACACACACACACACACACACACAGGGAGACAGGCATGCAATCACACATGATACACACACACACGGAGACAGGCATGCATACACACTCTCTCACACACACACACACACACACACACACACACACGGAGACCGGCATGCAAACACACATGCATACACACACGGAGACAGGCATGCAAACACACATGCATACACACACACACGGAGACAGGCATGCATACACTCTCTCTCTCACACACACACACACACACAGGCACAGGCACACTCCAGCCCATCAGTAATTCAGGAGGCACCAGGGACCTCCGCCTGGGGCTCCAAACGCTCCCAACCTGGGAGGCAAGAGGGCGCTTCCCAAACCCGCTGGGGACTCACCCCCTGGGCCAGGCGGCCCTGTAACTGCCCGAGCCCTCCGTACCGGGGCTGTGCGTCCGGGGGCTGAGTCCCGGGCGGGGCGCACGGAGGGGCCCCGCGCCCCCCGGGAAGGGCCCACCCGCCGGTGCTCCTCCCGGCCCACGTGCCTCCGGTGCGGCGGGAAGTGGAGCCTCCAGATGCGGCGGCGGGGCGGCCACTTCCGGCGGGAGCCCCGCGCCCCTCCCGCTGCCCCGGGGGCGGCCGGGCACGGGCGGCGGCGCGGACACCTGGCGGCGTCGGGTCCCAGCCCGTCCGGGCGGCGCGGCGGGCGGCTCCGGGGGCTGCGGGGCCGGGAGAGAACAAAGCGCCCCGCGGGGAAGGCGGGCGGGCGGCCAGGGCGGGAGGTGGCTTTCTGGGGACCCTCGGGTGCTCTTTGTGGGCCAGGCCCCCTTTGGGACGGTGGATGCCGGCGTCCTCCTCCCCCGCCTCGGGCTCCACTCCGTCCCGCTCTCCCATCTCCTCCGCCGGGCGGGCCGCCTTCCCTTCCCGGCGCGCAGCCCCGGCACAAAGCCGGGCCGGGGAGGGGACGCCGGGCCGGGGAGGGGGCGCCGGGCCGGGGAGGGGGACGCCCGGCCGGGGAGGGGGCCGCCGGGCCGGGGAGGGGGGCGCCGGGCCGGGGAGGGGGCGCCGGGCGGGGGAGGGGGCCGCCGGGCCGGGGAGGGGGGCGCGGGGCCGGGGAGGGGGCCGCCGGGCCGGGGAGGGGACCGCCGGGCCGGGGAGGGGCCGCCGGGCCGGGGAGGGGGGCGCCGGGCCGGGGAGGGGGCGCCGGGGAGGGGGACGCCGGGCCGGGGAGGGTCGCCGGGCCGGTCCCCCCGCTCCGGAGCCGCCGTCCCCAGCGCGGGCGCGCCCCCCGCGGGCCGCACAACTTGGGCGCAGAAGTTGGTGCCCGCGGCTCCCGGCGCCTCGGGGCCACCTTCCCGGAGCCGCCGCTGCGGGCGCGGCCCGCTGCCCGCCGACAGCCCCCGGAGGGCGGCCGCTCCCGGCCCCGCGCCCCGGCCCCGCGGCGCCCAAACCTGCCTCCGCCGGAGGGGCCGGCGCCGGTCCCGCGGGTCCCCGGTTGGAACCAGGGGCTGCGGCCCCTGCACCCTCCCGGGTCACCGGTGGGATCCCGGCCGCCGCGGCGCCCGGGGTGACGGGCTGGGGGCCGGTGACCCGGTGCCGTTTTACATAATGGACCGGGGGGCCGGGGACCGGGGATGGGGGGACGGAGAGGAGGGGTGCCCGGAGCAGGCTGCGCTCCGCGGGGCGCTCCAGCCCGATCCCGGAGCGGCAGGACCCACCCACCCGGCGCCCGCCGACGGCGGAGGGGAGCGGCGGGAGCCCGGGTCTCGGAGCCCCGTCGCCCGGCTAGCGCGGGAAGCAGCTAGGTCCGCGGCTCCCCTCCCCCTCCACGTGCCGCCGGCCCCGGCGGGTCCGCCAGCCCGGCTCCCGCGCCCTCCCGCCCGCGGCCGCACTCACCGGGAGGCCGGGCGGCAGGCGCAGCGCCAGCGCGCACAGCGCCAGCCAGAGCGCCGCGCGCCCCATGCTGCCGGCGGGGCCGGGCCGGGCCGGGGCGGCGGGCCGGGGCGGCGGGCTCGGCCGGTCCGGATCGGGGCTGCGCGGGGCTCGGGCCGGCGGCGGGCGCGGCGGGGCCGGGGCTGCGCTGCGCTCGGCTCTCGCGGGCGCTGCCCCGCGTGCGGCTGTCCGTCCGGGCGCGGGTCCGCCGGCCGCAGTCCGCTGTCCGCCCGATCCCTCCCGACGCGGCCCGGCTCGCTGGCGCCCGCCCCTCTCCGCCGAGCTCCGCCTTAGAATAAACCCACAGGCCCCGGGCCCGGCGAGAAAGCCAGACCCCCGCCCCCAGCGCGCCGGTCCCCGGGCCGGCCCCGCCCCGGACCCGCCCGCCGGCCGCCGGTCTGCAGCGCCCTCTGGGCGGACACGGGCGCCTCCAGGTACGTGTCCTCCCCGGTCCCGGGGGAGCGCTTCGGGCCGCGCTGGATCCCGAGGGAGGGGGCCTTAACCGACGGGTCCCCCCGCATTTGTCCGACCGCAGGTGGTGCCCCGCGCCCTCCCTCCCTCCCTCCCAGCGCAGGTGCCCCAGGGGCTTGCGTCCTGCCTGCACCTAGCAAGTTAGCAGCTCAGGAGAGGTGGTGAGAAAGGGGGGGGGGGGGGGGGGGAGGAGTTTTCAGATCTTTCTATGGAAGACGGTATCCTCTCTCTGTCTGTCTCTCTCTCTCTCATATATATATATTGTGTATGTGTGTGTGTGTGTGTGTGTGTGTGTGTGTGTATATATATATATATATATATATATATATATATATATATATATAAAATTGATTTTTTACAGAGAGGAAGAGAAAGGGATGGAGAGTTAGAAACATCAATGAGAGAGACGTCGATCAGCTGCCTCTTGCACACCCCCTGCTGGGGATGTGCCTGCAACCAAGGTACACGCCCTTGACCAGAATCGAACCTGGGACCTTTCAGTCCGCAGGCCAACGCTCCATCCATTGATCCAAACCGGTTTCGGCGGTGTCCTCTCTTGATCCTCAGAGCACAAAAGGAAAACACACGGCTTGGTGTCCAGGGGATCGCCTCCGGCCTGCTGAAGGGGCAGCCGCTGAGCTCCTGGTGGTGGTGGTTCCCTGAGCTGGGCCTCAGTGTCTCCATCCCCCTCAGGCGCCTGGTGCAGAAGGCTCTGGAAGGCCTGCGGGCGGAGTGCCAAGGGCCTCGAGAGAGAAGCGGGAAGAGCCGCCTGGCCCTGCCTGCAATCTGTGAGGAGGAGAAATGGTGCCAAACGACCTCCGGACCCGCTGAGCCTGGAGGCCAACGGCAGTGTCTTCCCCACCCACCGCTCCAGGCCGCCTCTGCAGCCCGCACTGGGAGCCTCGGGCCTCTCGGGGTCTCTCCTGACGGATTAAACATTTCTGGGTCCTGGGTTAGGTGGTTCCGGACAACAACCGGCCTGAGTCCCTGGCTTCTCCCCACCCTCCCCGCAGCGTCCTGCATCCCCATCTCAAGCCCCGCTCCTCCACCTGAGCACTGACAGCCAGGCCCCCCACAGCACCGCACCCTGGTTTTTTGTTTTTTAATTTTTATAATTTTATTTTTTAATATATTTTATTGATTTTTTTACAGAGAAGAAGAGCGAGGGAGAGAGAGCCAGAAACATCGATGAGAGAGAAACATCGATCAGCTGCCTCCTGCACACTCCCCACTGGGGATGTGCCCACAACCAAGGCACATGCCCCTGACTGGAATCGAACCTGGGACCCTTGAGTCCGGGAGACCGACGCCCTATCCACTGAGCCAAACCGGATTCCGCCACTCTGCCCTGTTTGGCCTCTGCTCCTGAGAACCTATGGGGCCTCGGGCAGCTCTCCCTTTTGGGATCTCAGCTTCTCCTCTGGGTCCATGGGGAATGATAGGTCCTCATCAGGGTTCTTGGGACCTGATGCGAGTCCCGGGTGCCCCCCTCCCCGCCCCCCTGCTCCTCAGATCACCTGGCCTCAGGGCAGCAGCTCAGGGAGTCCTGCCGGGTATGAAAGTACCGTTGGCAGAAAGCTGTGTGTGTCTCCAGGGCCGGCTCCACCGTCTGGTTAGCTCTCTCGTCTTTTTCACCCAATATGGGGGAAATACTGGTCAGTGTGGAATCTGGTCTTTCTCGACCGCACAAAATAAACAAAACTGGAGTCCGGAGGGTGTGAAGGCATTTTTTTTTTTAATTTTTAATTTTTGTATTATAGAAATTACCAGTTTATTGTTTCTTTCAGAACAGATTTGCTCCAGATCCATGTGTGTTTCTTTGGGCCCATTAGGAAGAGGCAGGCCCCAAGCATGACACCTACACAGAGAAGGGAAGCAAAGGGTCAGGGTTCGCCTGGACCCAGTGGACCCCTGGCCTGCTGGGATCATCCAACACATCGCGAGGAAGCAGCATGCCAGCTGCCACCCTCAGCGTGGGCAGCACACACTGTCTTACAATCCTACATGTAGTGTACACAGTCTACATGGATGTCCTGTAAAAGGACATTTCCCTAGGGGAGGAAAATGGGGTGGGGGCAGCGAGGAGAGCGTTTAAGTTTATTATATATTCCTAAATGCTTATCAGAGCGTATACTTTATTTAATGTTTTACATTGGAAGTTGTTTCCCGAATCCGTGAGGATGCTTTCAACCTCAAATAACCGCTCCCATTCAAACTGTTTGAGTCATAGGGCAGTTATTGCGCCCGGCCAGGAGGTCATGGTTTGATTCCCAGGCAGGGCATACGCCCCAGTTGAGGGCTCCATCCCCAGTGGGGGGCGTGGGTGATCAATAATTCTCTCTCATCAGTGTTTCTGTGTCAGAGTCCCTCTCCCTTCCTCTCTCTAGAATCAATAAAAACACACATTGTTAAAAATGGAACAATTACTGCACGTGCCTGTACTGGCATTGTCCACTATACAACCCCAACCACCACAGCACCGGAACAGAAGTCTCTCCCGCCCTTCAGCTCTGCCACCCCCATCCTCAGAGTGGTAGCGAGACGGGCCATTGTTTCCAGGCATCACAGCTAGCGGAGTCGTGTCCACAAACAAGGCCTCCTTCTCCTAGTGTTTTCCTTAGGAATGAGGAAATAGTTCCCTGAAGGTCACCCCTATACACACAACACACACACACACACACTTGTTTTCCCACCTCACTGGCCTGCAGTGGGCCCCATGCCCTCATGAAGCCATCTCTAGGAAGCAGACCTTCAGAACCAGTGCGGGGGTAGATTAGCCTTCTGAGGGCCTGGATATGGGGGAGCCCTTGCCACGGCCATTCAGTACTTGGACTTCTTAAAGAGTATGAGATGCGTGTAAGGGCATTCTGCTTCGAGATGATACAAAACACACAAAAAATGGAATTATCACCTGACCTAGCAATTCCACTTGTGGGCAGGTGCCCCAAAGAACTAAAAGCAGGGACTGAGCAGGTAGCTGCACAGCCATGTTCACAGCAGCTCTCTTCACAATAGCCCAAAAGGCGGAAGCAATCCAAAAGTCCATTGACATTTTTTTTTTTAGACGGATCAGCAAACTGTGGTAAATACATACAATGGGGTATTTATTCAGTCCTCAAAGGAGGGAAATCCTGTCACATGCTACAACCCCTGTGAACCTGGAAGACTTGAAGCTAAGTGAATAAGCCAGTCACAAAAGGACCGGTACTTGATGATTCCACGTATGTAGAGTAGTTCAAGTTCAGAGGCAGAAAACAGAGAGGTGGCTGCCAGGGATTGGAAGGAAGTGGGTGGGGGGGTGGGGGCATGAGGCATTATTTTATAATGGACATGGAGTTTTATTTTGGGAAGACAAAGAAAGTTCTGGAGATAGATGGCGGTGGTTTTTGCACAACAATGTGAATGTACTTAATGCCACTGAACTGGACACTTAAATGGTTAAAATGGTAAAATTTTATGCTATGTATAGATTACAAAAAATGCAACACCCCCCCCCCCCCCAAAAA